GAAATCTACTTATTCATCTACTGTAATGTATGAATGACGTTCAATATGCCGGGATGTCATTATAATGTCATAATAATGAAAAGTCTCTCTTTTTTCGAGTTGTTCATAATGAAAAATTTACAATGTTTAAGCTTTTTGAAAGGTACTATTATTTTAAAGGGATGTTAGTTTTCAATCACCCGGATTAAGACCATGATATAGCCAAGCTCATTTTTGTCGCCGGATAATGATCGATGAACGCTATGAAGAGAGTACTTTCCGGCTATTTTGATTATGACTATTTGAGCCACGACACGACAAAACCAACATAGTGCGTTTGCGACCAGCATGGATCCAGACCAGCCTGCGCATCCGCGCAGTCTGATCAGGATCCATACTGTTCGCTATCAGTTTCTTTACTTGTAATAGGATCTGTAAGCGAACAGCATGGATCCTGATCATGGTCTGGATCCATGCTGGTCGCAAACCCATTATGTTGGTTTTGTCGTGACACGGCTCATTTCAAGCTCAGGTTGCAAAATTGAAAAAAAAAGGAAAATAAAGAAAATACTCCTCCAAAACAACTCAAGTTGCACCGGGAATCTGGACGCCGGAATGATGAGTCATGAAACCAACGGCATCCAATTACTTTTGAATACTCGCGTTTAATTAAATATACAGCGTTTGAATGCTAGATATGGTTTAAAGTATTTTGTTTCTGCAAAAAAAAAAAACAACAAATAACGACAATGAACATGTACTGGGAGCGACGGTGTAATGAATATAGACATGCCTCTTAACTTTGAGGTCCAGACGACATACTCTTGCGCCGGTTACCCACCGACTCGAACTTTACTTTTCTTAGTGTGTTACCTTGAATTAGTGGCATTAAGATTTAAGAGCACTGAGAGTATTTTCTTTGGCTTTTTTTCATATCGTCCACGTGAATTTCGTATATTAGGCCATTAATTAATGTTAAATCAGTTTGCGTTTTCTACGCAGTTACCTCCCTTTTATTATTCAGTTTTGCGCTCATTATTTGTATAATTATAGTCTAACCATTGTTAGCGCCCGAACCCTGTCAATATTGACCTGAGACTAATCAATTTTCGAGAGGAGATTCGTTAGTTTCCGTTAATTATTTATTTTATTGCTAGAACAACATTATACTTTAATAGACACCTTAATTCATACTTACTGAAGTACGACACAACTGTATTCGCAACGTTGCAAGTTCGAATTCTCGACAATATATGTTTAAAATGTTTTTTTTAATTGTTTTTTTTCTTCTTTCAAATTAAATGAAGCATGAATGGATAGATTGTGTAACCTCTGATGTCCGTTTTTAGCTCGACTATACGAAGTATATGGAGAGCTGTCCTACTGGCCCCGGCGTCTCGTCCAGATTTCAGATTAAAGTTTTGGTGCAGTAAAATATTTTTCACTATAACTTTGTCATTTCTTAAGGTATCAACTTCAAACTTCAAATATATGTTCCTTATCATCATCCACATCTTATGTGACAAGGTTCATAACTCTAGCACCAATATTTTTAGATTTATCTCCCCTTGAACTTAGAATTGTCCTTAAAAAATATTATTTTTTTATTGTTACTTATTTATTTCTAAAGGGATCAACTTCATACTTCAAATATATGTACCTTATCATCATCCCCATCTTATGTGACAAGGTTCATAACTCTAGCACCAATATTTTTAGATTTATCTCCCCTTGAACATAGAATTTTCCTTAAAAAATATTATTTTTACTGTTACTTATTTATTTCTAAAGAGATCAACTTCATACTTCAAATATATGTACCTTATCAGCATCCACATCTTATGTGACAAGGTTCATAACTCTAGCACCAATATTGCAAGAATTATCTCCCCATAAACTTTTTTTACTAGAAAATTGTAATTTTTTTTACTATAACTTTTTTAGTTTTAAAGGTATCTAACTCAAACTTCAAATATTATTCCTTATCATCAATTACATTTTATGTTACAATGTTCATAACTCTTGAAGCAATAATTACAGATTTATCTCTCTTTGAACTTAAGATTTTCTTTGAGAAATATTATAACTTCCTGTCTAACTTATAATCGACGTCATAAGAGGAAGTCTACTAGAAGAAATCAAAGATTCTACATTTCTGCAAAGAAAAACCTTAATGCTTTACTCACAAATTATACATACATAGTTGTACTTAGGATTTTCTTTGAGAAATATTATAACTTCTTTACTTTTTAAGGTATCTACTTCAAACTTCAAATATATATTTCTTATCATTACACACATGTCGTGTGACAAGGTTCATAACTCTAGCGTGACTATTTCTAGAATTATTCCCCTTGATCTTGGAATTTATGTTAACAAATGTTATTGTTTTACTATAACTTAATACATAATTATACATAATTGATTTTTCGTTCATAGTTTTGTCCTCCTTACTGCGTCCAGTATTTTATTAGTCGAGCTTCGCTGTCTCCTGTGACAGCTCTTGTTCTTCTTATTTTCATAATTTTGATAAATATAATTATGTATTTATGTTTTACATCAAGTTCAATTATTGGCGTATCACAAAAAAGATAAACATAGTGTTCAAGGTTTTGCAAAGTATAAATAAAAATACGATAAATACCGCTATAATGTCACTGAATACTCAAATGTGTCAGGTCAATATTGCCCATTAATAAACAGTACTGGTCGAGGATATAAGGTTCCTCTGTGTGTGGTTTGTAAAAATAATAATATGATTTTTTTTCAACCGTATTGGCACATATTTTGGCAGTTTGGCTTTCTTTGCAGTTTCATGACAAACAGTTTACGATATATTTATTACCAAAACAATTATCATATAATAAATACTATCTGAAACACAGTACATAGATCTGTCTAAAATTTGGGAGATTATGTTGACTACATATCAGCAAAAGAAATTTAGTTGTAAAGTCAAAGATTGTCTTCCGTTTTCCAAACAAATGAATTACAAATTCTGTACATATTTTGCTCTTATTTAAAACAGCAGCAATGTTATCGAACAGTTCTACTTATCTTTAGTTTGTTGTTTTTCTGATACGTTCCTTATTTTTAAAGCAAGAAGGATAACCGCCTCCGTTGTTTAATGTCCACCTGTACAGATTATTTCCCTTGTATTAGCACGTAAAGTTGTTCCTTTCCGATTATACATGTATTTAAAACAATAGAACACCAAAGAACGTTTCTGTAGGTATCCGGATTCTAATAGTTTTATTTTTCTATAATAATGCGCTCATAATATGCTTTAGACAGATTTTTTAATCATGTAAAATTGAATCCTTTATTGATTTGATCTCTATAATATTTTGTATTAAGTTACAATAGACAATTTTTTAAAACTCATTCTTTTAGGATTTCACAAGTGTTCAGTAAATAATGAATACAGTTCTGTAATTTTTTTATCCATTGTACGTATTTTCATATAGCAACATTAAAAGCAAACACGTCAATATTATTTATATTTGCACCAAACTATGTGACGTTACTTCCTGTCTAACTTATAATGGACGTCATAAGAGGAAGTCTACTAGAAGAAATCAAAGATTCTATATTTCTGCAAAGAAAAACCTGAATGCTTTACTCACAAATTATACATACATAGTTGTACTATAAAACATATGAGCCGCATTACAACAAAACCAACATAGTGCGTTTGCGACCAGCATGGATCCAGACCAGCCTGCGCATCCGCGCAGTCTGATCAGTACTTGTAATAGATTTGGTAAGCGAACAGCATGGATCCTGATCAGACTGCGCGAATGCGCAGGCTGGTCTGGATCCATGCTGGTCCCAAACGCACTATGTTGGTTTTGTCATGGCGCGGCTCATATGTCTTTGATGAGTCAGGGAACTTATAGAATACAAGCCACGTACATGGAACACCAAAATTGAAGGTTAACAGGTTGGTAGTAATGTGAAAAGCCTTATATGAAATAAAAAGAAAAATTGTACGTGAGATAAGTTCAGACTCCGATGTTCCCATTATTAAAATATTAAATAAAGCGTTTTATTGAGCCTTGAATTTCATGGACAGATCAACTGTGAGAAGAACACAACGAAGAGGATGGAATTGTCTCAGATTCTTATATAAATGTTTTATATGTTTCAGAAGTATATAATTAAGATGTAATAAATAAGTCAATTAACATTATTAGCAGTGAAAGATGCGTTGTCTTTTTAATTTCATTTGTTACAGTTTTCTTTGAAAGATTTAATACGAAATTAACGGAGAAATAGATAAAATTTTCGGAAATATAAAAAACGTTTAAATAACCAGCCAATGCGCAATTAAAAAAACTACATTATTATTAAAATCCAATATCTGAGAGACTTGATATTTAAACTGATTTATAGTTGTTAAATACATTAAATAGAATATCATTTACAATCGATACATCTTCTCTTTTTTCTTTAATAATACATCTAAATCAAAGCTCGCTTTCTTTAGTCATTCCTCGAGTTTTCAATGCTCGCCTGCTTTTTAACTAAAGAAAAAAACAACAACAAAACATTCCGTACTTTTGATCATTTGGTACTTTTACTAGTATGAGCGTATACTTTAAAGCGTAAAAACGTAGGTTTTTACGCATACACTATTCACTGATGTCATAATTTAAATTTACTGCATCAAAATCTGACATTCGGTCGTGGTTAAAGATGATTATTGGAGGGTGACCAGAGGGATTCTCGTTGTATAAATAGATCATGTTATACATGCGCTGATCGATTATGTCAGTAAAACAATATTGGTAATCGATAACAAACAATTATTGTTGCATTTATATATACAACCTAACAAAATAACGTTATACCTTGAGGTAACCAGACGCGAGATAAAAGATTTCATACAGGATTATGTGCTATTAAAAACGTTTGAAACACTTTTTGAAATACCCTTAAGGATACCTCTCGTCGCTGAAAAAGCAATAATTGTAATTTTAGAAGTACAATAGAACAAAACCGGTTTTGAAAAGAAGCTTTGCGCATGGCTGCACGGACGATCAAAAATAGTATATATTTACATACAAATATCTGCTCGATATGGGTTCATAATAACACAGGACTGATTAAGAAAATTCTACGGTTCAAAAAGTTGACATAGTTGAATAATTTTATATTTTGTGCAACAGTGATGATAAGGAATTGGGCCAGGTAGATTTTGAGGATGGAATAATGTACAATAATCGAGTTACAATTGACAGATTGAGGAAAAATCGTTTGACGGTATCATACATGAACGCACTAGTGACATTCAACAATTTCGGTGTCGCGTTTCTTCTATTGGAGAGAGCAAGGTTGTTCACTTTATACAGTGATTTTCACGGGTACATTTAGTGAAAATAAGATATTGATCTTTGATTCAGTTAATTTCTGTATCGGAATGTGAACAAGTCGGTTTAATAGTGGTATGATGCGGATTAATTCAGCGGAGTAATTCATTGTTAAACAGGTTGTAAAACTTCCTTATTCTTATGAGAAAATACTTGTGTGATTTTTATAACTAAAAAGGAAGTCATAATGGTGATTTTAAACAGTAATAGCCCAATGATAAGGTTACGAGTGTTGTATATAGGAAGCGCTGTTCCCCTGGACACAGTGGCTGGACTTGATGCCATCCAGGGACCACTGAGGGAACGTTATCCGGTCGACTCGGACGATGATACGAGTATAGAAGGAATAGACGCGTTTGTTTCTATCACTAATGAATGTATTCAATTACAATATTTGAATGACTCTGATCAGGTAGTTCAGTTTCCTGTTTCTTCCTTAAGTCTTTGTGCAGCAGTCAGGTGCGTGTCAACTATTAATACGGCAACCGGTGAAAAGGGTGCAAAGTTCGTATCTCTAAATGACCCTTTGGCGGGTGGAGAAAATGCTAAGCGTCCGGCCATATTTACCGCAATGACCCGTCGTACCCAAGGAAGAAAAGTGTTGGAATGCCATGGTTTTATTTGTGCTTCAGCTCAGGACGCGCTTAACTTAGTCAAATATGCGTCAATTGCTGGGAAAAACTATAAACAAAATGGAACAATTAAGTCAAGTAGACCTGTACAACAAACTGTTGTATCAAACGGTACCACTGACCCTCTTCTCGATGCAGGATCAACTTTAAATCGGATTTCAAATGGATCAGCATTCACGCCTACATCAAATATGCAAAATGGAGTGTCAAACGGTACCTCTATGAGACTCATACCTGGTGAACCAATAGCTCATGTGGCTGCAGGCCCTGAATTCTTCGAACCTGTATCAACACAGGGATATTTCTACAGCAGTAACAGCGCAGAAGTAAAGAAATATAATATTGCTAAACTTGGTGGTAATCGTAACAAGGAGAATATTGATGTTACTCAGTCGGCCCCTAGTGAGAGACAGGCACCTACTATTATAAACGGATATCCACATAGTACCGCACAGCGTCAGGCTCCAAGGGTAATACCTGCCCCACAACCAATTTACGTTCGTCTTCCGCGTCAACAGTATGTTGCTGGTCCCCCAAGACCACCCCCACATATGCCAGTGTTTTATGGGCCTCCACCACCTCCCATGTTCGCCAGACCGAGGTTTTTCTCACCACCACCACCAAGATTTCGACCTCAGCCGTATATGATGCCGCCCGGTGGACCTCCGCCAATGATGGCTCCACCGATATATGTTCGCCGACCAAGAGGTGGGTCTGCTGGAAGCAGGTCAAGGTCTAATTCTTCCGGCTCTCGAGGCTCGCGGTCAAAAACACCAACGGGGCAAGTAAATGGCGAAGAAACAGAACCGAAAAGAATACCGAACGCTGACGACTCGAGTGATTCTGAAATTAGAGTGTTGAATAGACAAAGGCCATCCACCCCACCAACAGACTACGACGACAGACGTAAGGGAGAACGAGTGAGCCGGCGTGATGCTTATGAAGTTAAATATGGTGTACAGCCATCACCATACAGATATGGTCCGCCTCCTGATGTAATTCCACCATATGGTTATGATTATTATGTCCAGCCTCCACGACACGGTGGCTATGCGCCATTCACAATGTACAATCCTCACGCAAGGTCAAGGTCGGTACCAGGGTATGATAGAGCAAGATCGAAGTCTCCGCGAAAGAAGAAGGGAAAGAAAAAGAATAAAAAAGTAAAGAAAAATAAACAACCCCCGCCTAATCCGCAGTATATGTATTATCCTAGAGAGGGGTTAAGACGGCAACCTGCCAACAGTGATGTTTCAACCGACAGTTTTGCTGGGTACCATTCAGAAAATCCTAGAGCAAACCGCCCATTAGATGGTACAAGCGGGTACCAGTTCTACCCACCACGTGATTTCAGACGGAACGAAAACCAGCATATGAATGAAAGAAACTTTTCTAAAAGTATTAAAGAGGAAACTCGGCGGTCACGTGATTCAAAGGCCTATCCGACGGCATATGAGTTGAACGATGCATTAACTCGAGGTGACGGTGACAGAAATGAGGACGTTGATTTCAATATGTACTAGGTACGTATTTATAGTATATGGGTGATATTGTAAATTCCAGTAAACCAAACCATTCTTGATGCTTAAATCTTTGCGTTCATAATTCCAACATGTGAGTGACATGTTTTAGTTAAGTAAACAACCTTATAATCGGTACAATACTTATATAAACAACAGTTTTTGTATCATACTTCAGGTAAATGAGTGTCTTAAATAATTTTAAAGTGACCATAGGGTTAATCAAACGAAGCGAAAGACGGTACAGAAGATAAAGATCTTTTGGTCATCAAACCCCACCATATATACCTTAAGGGGTTGACATTATAGTCAACGCACTATGGTGTGCAATTACTAAAATTACAGATGACCTCGCACATCAAACACATACCATGTGATTTGAGGTCTGTTTTGTTATTCTGTAACTTGATCAGATAATTGTTAATGTTCAGTCGAACCTTCAATGTTTAATGATGCAGTTGAAACAGACATTAGCTTTCTTGACTTTGTGTCCATGATTATATAGAAAGCGTAAACTATTAAAAATAACGGTGAAATGGCGACAACTTTTCATCAGTATCAGTTGAAACTAATAAAGGGTTATCATGGTCGCCGTCTTTTAACCCCGTGTCGGAATACCAGGGGCGTTCGATTCCATTTTAGAAAGCGACGCAATAAATTTACCTAAATGCCCTATGGTCTGCCATGTGTGCGTTCCATTCCCTGTTTGTCGTCATTTGAATACTTATTAAAAGGCCACATACTATTTCATTCCATCAATGAACAAGTCAATTTCTTAGAATTAATATGAGTCATACGTCAGGTATACTAAATTAAGAACGCTTTATATCGTCTGCTAACAAAATGTAAGCAATATGGAAATTAGGCGACAATAAAGTAAATTACTGTCAACATCATGAAGTACATACTCAGTATATCACTTAACCGCGGAATTAAAGCTAACAAGGGTCCGTTATTTATTCAAATTTTATTCATAGAATATTATAATTAAAATATATGAATTTGACAATTCTATATACATTTCACGAGGTACATGATGTACAAGGAATGTTTTTCTTATTTGTTTCGTTGCTGCTGTCAAACTCTAATCTGCTTATTTCTATCACGAGGCTTAATAATTATTGACTGACTGATCACGTGTCAGCTACAATTTGAAAGTATCTAGGATGTCCAAATAGAGAAAAAATACCTTGAACGCTAAAAAACAAGTAGAGGTTCGACAAGTATTGGTCAGTCTGTGACAATCACTGCGGTGTTTATTAATCAGTACGTCCAGTTTTATGAGCAAACGCTAATTTATTTGACGATGTATTAATATAAAGCAGTCATTTCATGTCACTGTATGAACGCATATCATAATATTGACACTGAAATAAATATTGATAGATTATAAATAACAGTATTTCCGTGAGTATTTGGTGAGAACATTTCGTGAAACACCCATTTTTCTTTTTTTATCAACCATTTTTCTTTTTTATGAACGAATGGTGGCGTAAACTTTACATGTAGTGTATTGGCGATGTGGGATTAGGCAAGAAAAGGGGTTTTGAGTTAACTTAGTTTGCAGTATTTATTGTTATTCAGCCTGATTTTCAGTATTAACCTAAGAACTCTAGCTGGCACAATTTAGGTTTTAGACTTGTTTCCCCGTTTTATTTTGTATTTGGTTTTATAATTCGTAAAAAAAGTAAAACAGCTTGTTTCAACAGTGTCGGTTTGTAGGGCAATGTCAAGGTCACTTTCGTCATAGTGGATGTCATACTTTGTCATAAAATAGAAAGTACATATATAGAAATTAAGGAGCAAAGTAGTTCGTTTTTGATGCCAATGGTATAAATAGAATGAAGGGGGACCTTTTCACTGTAAGATGGTCTTTAACCAATGTAACGATTGAAGCGTTTTTCAGAGCAAACATCTTTGAAGTTAGTAATGGGTCAGACTTAAGTTGTGCTATGTCAGTGACCTGAGGACCTCGGTCACGGAGGCCATGTTTACGGTTTATGTACTAATCGATCAATTTTATTTTCTGCCATGCCCAATAACTATAGTATTATTTGTACAATTTGATGGTATTTGTAACAATGTTTAATGTAAATATTGCTTTACATTATATGTATATTTAACAGTAGCCCGTTGAATCCTCCCCTATCCCTTGTGGCTGAGGGATTGCCATTTAGAGTTAAGACATCAGAATAGCAGCCACCGTTTGTCCCTGTGTGATTGTATATAAGATGCGACAAAATGGGTTTGAACAACTGGAGTCTTTGTACCTCATAGCTCCAGCAGATGAGGTGGTTTTGAGTTGGAAGTTTTTTTCTCACTTTGAAGCCAAATTCATTTTCGTTTTCGGATCCATATGACCTAAACTGTGTTGATGTGCCGTAAAATCAAACACAAAAACAAATCTTTCTATCTGTCCTGTTTCTCACGACTGTCATCGTGTGATATTACCGACGTTTTGTTTGTCTATTAAGTTTCGAAATGTTACATTAAGCTATTGACAAAAAATGCACCAAACAATCACATAAAATCTTTACGATTGTAATGTAAAACCTTACACCCATTGTGTAAAATGTTTTGACTGGTAATAGCAGTCGTTAATGTTTATTTTAATACAAAACAGAGTCACGTGTATTTGTCCGTCAGATAAACAACTATGTTGATGTCATTTTACTCTTGGAACTGCTTGCATATATAATTTCTCTAATAGTAAAAGCAGTAAAAATGTTTTCTATATAAAGCATGAGTTTTTAGTTGATTTTTTTCTCACTTTGAGCAATTCATTTCGTTTTCGATCCTATCCTAAACTGTTTGAGTGCCTAAAACAAAAAAAACAAATCTTTCTAATCTGTCCTGTTTGATGCATGTGTGATATTTCCGACTTTTGTCTAGAAGATTTAATTTCATATACCGATCTCAATAAAGACAACAATCAATAAAATTTTTTTCGCATTCTATGAAACTACAACATTGGGTTTAAAACGTTTTAATGATTTAAAGCATGTGTTAATGTTTTTATACAAAACAAAGTACGGTATTGTGAAAAAAACTATGTATTGGTAGCAAAATTAACTTGAAGTTTGCCATAAATAATTTCTAATACTAAATGTGCTAGAAAAAGGTCAATAAAGCTAGATGATTTCAGGTAAATTAGAATTATTCAATAATTTTGGATATTAAAGAACGCAAAAAAATAAAAAGCTTTTAATAAATAAAAATAGCATTTCTTAAGCATAATGGGTCTTTAAACAAGGTATACCACGTAAAATATTATTAGGCTTGGTTTAAATATATACAATATTTTCCCCAGTTGTAGGTAATTCAGTTTATTTTTATTCATTTAATTGCAAACTTATTTAAAACAGCTGTCCAAAATGTTCGCACGGTGAAACATTAAAATATTTTCTGCATGGCTGACATTTCATATAATGACATTTTTGAAGCTCTTTTCAAAAAAAAAAAAAAAAATACTACGTGAAATTTGACAACCGAGTTTATATTAATTGTATTCAGGAATGAGGATTGATTGCTCTATACTTTATCTTGTTCATAAACCCACTTTTGCTTCACTGACTTTTGTAATTTTAGTAGTAAGCGCATAGTAGTTAGTACAGAATGAAAAATAAAAAAATCTCATTTTTTCAGCACACATGCTATTTAACGTCTCGTCTATGTTATAATAGAGACGTATTGCATCCTCAAACGCGCCCTTAATGGTGTCCACAATATAAAATATTAAAAAAATGTAAAAACTGGAGGGTTATTGCGCCATTTAACCCTTATTCTGCAGAATTTATGTAATGAATGTGTCCTGTATTTAATTTGGGGTAGTTCATTTAACGTTTAAGGGAGTTCAATATTAAACATGTACATATATTTAGCTCATGGTAAAACGTAACAAGTAGTGTAAGGTTGGTATGGCACTTTACTGGAGGCAAAGGCCAATCACTGACGGTCCTAGCTGGGCATTAGTTAATTATTTATAATGAACTTTCTAATCTTTTTTTTTTCTCCCAAGAAATTCGTCTGAGCCGGATCAAATTTTATCTGTTGCAAATTTATGTCCGTTGATTTATCTTCTGCACGCCTTGTAACTTTCATAAGAAGAGTTACTTGCCGAGTAAGCAAATACATCTGAAAGCATAAAATTGACTTCCGACCCTACTGCAAATTATTCGCATGAAAGGTGCAACTTGAAGCTGAACTATAAAATCATGATACTTTTATAAGTTATGTTACTTTCATGTGGATTCTGTTTCATTTATTTGATTATACATCAGTATTTTACTATAATTTCAGAGAGCTACTCAAAGAAGAAACAGGTACAGAACATAAGACAAACACTAGCACGTGGAGTATTTCACGCTACATGGTGTCACCACGGGGACTACTGCACTTGTTTACATCAATTAAAGAAGATAAAAGTGCTATATAACATATTTCTATTAACTTACAAAAATGCCGCATTGCCCTTCATTATACAAATACAAATTCTATACCATTTTCATAGAGAGTGCTTTTTTTTGGGCGCGGGAGTGTTTAAACTAAATCTTGACGCAGGCGTATCACAACGACCATAATAGGCACTTCAAGGACTGATATTGTATACATCTCTAAGGTGTTCCTTCTGACACGCCTTTGTTTGAACTTGTGATGTGAATTAGTAGCACCTCAACGACAGCATTCTTTATTTAGGTAACTGCTGTGACAATATTATGTTGTGATGTTTGCATAACGATTATGAAATCAGTTATTAGAGGCATGGCCATGAGTGTATACCATAGTCATTTAAAGTGCGTTTTAAATACTATGGTGTCGGATAGGTACCATTATTGTGCCATTGTATGTTTTTTGTAAATGTCATGAATTATTTACATGTACTATGCACGTGCGTGTAATAATTCCGTTTATATTCTTTTGTAATGTTTTTAGTGAAACGTTATCCTATCTTTATATATACATCATATCGAAAATTGTCAACTTTATAAACAAAATTTGAAGATCATCTCATATAGATCTTCGTTGTTTTGCATGTGAAAGTTTTATGATTGATTCTATCAAACTTGATGCAAGAAAGCCTGGGCAAATATGTTTTAAACAGTATTTACACGTATAGCTAATAGCATTATGTATATTTTATGTTTCATTGATATTTGTATTTGATTTAGATGTAATCAATCACTTTAAATCTTTGATGTATACCTTTAATTATAGAAACATGTGATTATATATGTCGAGGGTTGACTGCAAAACTGTAGTAACTTATATAAAATAAAGAAGGATTTACAACAGTTTTGCGATCAATCTTCGATTTGTCCTGTTTCTGTTAATACGCAACATTGCATCTGTTATTGATGACGATGCAAATTTAAAAGTTATAATCAAACAGAAAATAATTCATTATGTATATATAAAGTCACTTTTATCATGTTAACATGTCAGAATTTTTAAGTATACATTGTATATGCACATTATTATTAAGTCAATTAATAAATCAAAGTTTAATCAGCTATTAATTATATTTTGTATATACATGAACATGTATTAGCCAATTATTGTCGTCTGATATAACACCATACATTCAGGAAGTTTAAATATTTTAAGATCTGGTACAATGTCGTCTGCTTGATTTTAGTTACAATGCAGTTTTACAAAGTATAGGTGCTGCATTTTTCAAGGGGTATTCAGTAAATTTAATAGTGTTGCCAACACTTGTCATTTCCTTTCTGATCCTTCCGTAATTGATTTGTTACATTTGGCACTTAGAGTTGTTAAAAATTGTTGTACATGCAGAGTTTGAGATATATTCATTTTATGATAATTGTTAAGTTTTTTGTGGCTACTTTTTGTTTGTATGGAAATATCCCTATTGTATTAGATATTTGTTTGTATCTTCGATATGCCACTCAAACAAGTTATTTACTTTTATAATACCAGATTCATGTAATGGATGCGTCTAACTTTTATTTTGGAACAATCCATTCAATAATTTAGGGATTTCAATATATAATTATACAAAAAAATAAGCGTTCATCAGTATGGAACCTGGTCAAGTTGCAAGGATGTATAGGCTGGCCTGGTTGTACACTGGCGGGAACGTCAGTCACTTAGCAGGTTAATTGTTAACATTATTACTGTTGAGTATTATCTTATATATTAATATATCTTATCTTTTTTATTTCGAAATATTGACCAGCATATTTGAGTCATCTGTATAGGTGTGTCGGTATACAGTTTCTAATAATAAAACTTAACAATAAAGCGGGTTTTTATTTCGTCATAAAATTATAGGCGCAATTATCCTAAAACGTGAGGTTTTATGTTCTATCATGATTTTTTGTGTAGCATTTATATCTATTTTAAGGTTAATATGTAAAAAACCTTTGAGAAAATACACACAATATACTGAATGTAAATATAACTCTTATGAAGATTTAAACGAAGTAATTTTTTGAAATATGACCACACAATATGACTGTCGTATTAGTGAATTGGTCTACATGAATAACGGACAATTTTTTGTACTACATTTCACAATATAGTTCCTTGAAATCGCTTGAATCATTTACATAATTTTGAAGTTTCGAAGTGGTCTGTTTTGTAAAGTTGATATGTTTACCTTTCAAGATTTTGTGCAAAAAAGTTGTTTTAACTTAAAAAAAGAATGAGTTACAGCCATTTTGCAGCAAGCCCTCAATTTGTTATTGTATAAATGTTTGTTATATTTTATAAATTACGAGTGCAAGACAGATCTTTAGTTTAGGAGAACATATATCTATATGATGAATGTTAAAACAAACAGCCATTGTTATTATTTTATAACACAGAGTATTATTATTTTATGATATATACAAGAACGTGCTGAATGTTAATTAATTATTATAATTGCATACATTTGTCATATATACATCTATCTTTATGCTGATATAATATGTATATGAATATATTAAATAACAAGAATGTACAAAAATGTTTTGTGTTGTATTACAGACAGCCGGTAAGATGAACGGAGGAGATCGTTGCACGACGAGCGTTCTATCAAGCTTCTTAAAAAATTGCTGATGGCAAACGTATGCCATTATTCACCTCTCATATTATCTTTTAACATTTACCTTTACAACTTTCTGTAAAAAAATGTGTGTATTTAGAACTACTCACATAGGTTGTTTCAGTATCAAAATGCTAAAACTCCGGTGTCGGCCCACTCAATTATCTCTATGTTCTATACTAAATCAGTCATGTCATTTGATGCCAAAATCCCTGTTTAAGTAATATGATATAATATATATATATATATATATATATATATATATATATATATATATATATATATATATATATATATATATATATATATATATATATATATATATATATATATATATATATATATATATATATATATAACACTATTTAAAGTTATATGAGGCCAGAAATATATAATAGCAGCCATCTCGTTGTTTTCTCAATTTTTTATTGTGTTGGGCCAACCCTGAAATTGTCCAGTTTAAAAAGTCATGTCTACTTGCGCTTAGAACATATTTATTGAATTCTTCCGCCTAGAAATTAGGTCCTGAAGAATACACACAAAACAACTTTTAAAAGTCAAAAGATATTACAAAAAAATACATCACTTACAAAAGATGACCAAGGAAACTAGGAATAATTAATGGGGTACTTCAAAATTGAACTGGTTTCTAGACTGTAACGGGCTGAGAATATTCGTACTGAGGTGAGACCTTAAACAACCAATAGTATAGATAACAAGTGTGCGACTATACTGCTGGCAAACGTTTAACACCGTCACTGCTTAAAAGGCTTATGTTTCAAACAAACATGTACATTTAGTAATACATAAAAAAATGATCAGATCGATAAGTTTAGGCCATTTACTGAGAACCTTTTGTTCCTAACTGCCGCGTTTACTTACGATACTATCAGCATGCCATACATGTAACTTTAGCAGTCCGGTGGTGCTCCTCGTGTCTACGATTACCATGGAGGGGGGGGGGGGGGCAATTTTTGTCAACCCTAAAATTAAGTCTTATGGTGTTGATAGTGATTATTAAAAAACTAAGATCAAAATCTACTTCAGGAACTGGCTGCCCTTAACAAAGTAAACTTGTGAGTACAGTTAGCAAAGTACACTTGTGAGTACAGCAGGACTCGAAATCATGTTCTCAGCGTTCCGAGGTGACAATTGACAAAAAGCTAATTTATTCAGTAAAATTCAAAATTTGATATATTTCAATTAACGTGTAAAATATTCGTAGCTTATTTCATTTCATTGTTAGAAATGAACTTTCACGATATCATTAAGAATATATTTACAATAATATAAAAGCTGACATTTTAAAGTCCAAGTCTTATAGATACTGCACTTAGACCTTGGATATTGCATACTTTGATTACATTATATGTTCTTACATAGGAAGTAATATTGGTGCATTTTATGGTGTATAGTTAAAAACCTAAATTGGATTTGGCTTATTCTATGCGAATTGTCATTCTTTACTATTTTATATCGATGTTACATAAACATTTTCATTTACATTTAAACCATTCTTTTGTTCATTACATGATAAAGAACGGCTGTTCCGTCTTTAACCACTCATATTTCATTACCTAATAAAATTCAACAATTTTCACATAATGTTGATTTAAATGTTAGGGATGTTATGTACATCATAAAAAAACCGTTGTCATGGAAACCAGTCATTTTTGCCTTTATATTACCATCTTATTGCAATAGTTTTATGAAATCTGACCGTACTAACCCATATCATCTGACAGAATAGGACCTACACTCCTTTAAGTTTAAATACTTCAACAAGTATAAATGTCCACACACAAATTCTGAGGGCGAAATTATGTTAACATCAAAACAGAAAAAAAATCAACTATACTTCGATCAGAATCAAAATATTATATATCAGAAAACTGACAATGATTTATGACTTAAAAATGTTTTTGTTTATCATTTAATGACGTTTTTTTTTTATTTCAAGTTATAACCAACGTTAAAACATTCGCGCAGAAGAATTTATCAGTCATATTGTCATATCTAAACGCTTCCATCTTTTTCAAAAAATGAAGAGAAATATTGTTTTTAAAAATTTCTAAAAATATAGGCGTATGCGCAGTAGTTACAAACTAGTTTTTGCTTAATTATATACATGACCGAGTGGTATTCACGCCGGACTAGTAATATAAGGGATTGTTGGCCGCATGGGTTAAAACCCTATATCGTGGGTTAGTTGTTGATACCCTAAACAAGGAACTTTATACTTATTGCTTGGTACTGAATAGTTTCAGAAAAGAATTTGATAGCGTTTCTAAAAGATTATAGCTTTCTACACAATCTAACTAAAATTAACAATGTCTAAACTGAACGCGGAAGACATCTGTATGATTATTTATTCAGATTCTTTTTCATACGATCATACTTTTCCCCCGAAAAAATCTACAACAAATCTCTTTTCCCATTGGCTCCAACATTATTAGTAAGGTATCATATACCAGGAACATTTAAGTTACATTACAATATAAACTGTTATTAACTAAAAATGTTGTGTACCTTATCATTTGTTTATGCAGCATAATATTATACACTAAGCAAGCAGCTTCAAGACGTATGAATAATCACAAATTTGATACAATTAGGAAATATATCATATCAATTTGTAAAATAATGCACGGCTGCAGGAATATAACCCAAAAGGTCGGTAGGCCTGAGTGATAAATTACAAAGCCTTTTAGCGTCAAACATTTTTGTAGAACACAAAACGCAAGAAAAATGCCATAATGCACAGTCGTACATTCTTACTATGCTTTATGTAACAGGAAGCACATTTGCTGTGTTTCTACATTGAATTACCTTAAACTTTCAGTAGGTTGTTCCAAATGAAAAACAGGACGGTTCCATTCACAGATTAAAGCAAAACTCGCCAAATCAAGATAGCGTGCATGAACCCATTTTATACAGTTTTTGACCGATCTTATTCTTGTTTTCCTCCCAATACATAATATACAGCTTCCAGGTATTTCTATGTTGAAATTATTCAATCTGGTGCACATAAAACTGGCTGGTAAGTAAAAATCCTGTATGCATCAAAATGTTCATTCGGGACACCTAATCTTCGGAACGAATGATGACGGAAACGGCCGAAACATGCAATTGCTAAATAATTAAAGGTAAATGTCCAATAATCAATTTATTGATAAAACTGGTTTTATGATTGTTTTGAAATAAATTAGCGACATTTCAGCCGGATTCATTCAATTATGAATCTTTCATAGAAAAAAAAACTAATGAAAAAACAAATTTAATACGAGTGCAGCGGCAGTTCATTTTGGGCTGCTATTATAAATGTAGACATACAATAAGCTAAACATCGGACAAATACAAAAAGGGGGACACAAAAACAATGTCAATCCGCAAATACTAGCCAGGATAACCACTTGTAATAAAAATACAAAGTAATAAAATTAGCCAATCAATCAGTTAGTGGGTTGTTTTTATATCTATAAATGTCATCTTTATATTAAGTTAAGGGAAGAAATGCGGCTATTGACTTGCCAATATAATTTATATAATTTCTGTCAATTAGTTTTCATATTGACGGGATGTTGTGATGAATGGCCGTATTGTTGTTTATGTCAACACCAATATGTGACGTAATAATTATGAACAACGACCAAATATCTAGATAACCCTCTCACTTTATAAAACATTTGTTTTCGATTCTGTGAAATCAGAATTTATTTACTTTAGATGGTTGCACACGCTTCACTTGTATAATTTTAGAAATAATATCGGTCTCAGCGGTGTTTAATGGCTATGTAACACCGGCTTGTTGTTATATTTTGCTGGTCCTTCGGAATCACTGAGTCCAGCACTTTTAAGTGTTGGGAATTGAGTATCCTCTATATATTTCATATATGTAAAACACATGTCAGTGAACACGTACGTGTTTACATGTCAGACCAAGAACTGTTCAAGTCTGACCCAAGCACCATTTTACATTCACAATAAAATAGGTTTGGACGGTAACAACAAGTCTACTCAGATTTAAAAGATAATAAGCATCTTTCGGCCTATCAATATATGAGCCGCGTCACGAAAAAACCAACATAGTCCGTTTGCGACCAGCATGGATCCGGACCAGCCTGTGCATCCGCGCAGTCTGATCAGGGTTTACCAACTCTATTACAAGTAGAGAAACTGATAGCGAACAGCATGGATCCTGATAAGACTGCGCGGATGCGCAGGCTGGTCTGGATCCATGATGGCCGCAAACCCATTATGTTGGTTTTGTCGTGACGCGGCTCATATATATTTCCAGTTCATAAATTTAAACAACGCAATGAACCCGAAAACGTACGAATACCCCGAGAGATGTCAAAATTTAACGTAATTAACCTGAAAACGCACGAATACCCCGAGTGATGTCAGAATTCAACGCAATGAACTGGAAAACGCACCCTTAATAAAGTAAGGGCGTTCGATAGTTACAGTCTCCTTACTTCGAACTGTCTAAATATTTACCTGAATATTTGAAGAAAAAAATCACCCAACACAAACCCTAACAAAATTCTTAAGGCAGAAGTCCGAAATAAGCAGAAACTAACCAGATAGAAATGGGATCACATGCTGTTCTCTCTGCTTTCTCAACATACAATTGATTATAAAACTTAAATTTTAACAAAAAAATATTTAAAATACGCACATCCTCTTGTGGAATGTATATATCATATTTCCTTCATTCCAATGATTAAATAAAGGAACAACAGTACAATAGTGAAATAAAATATTTCTTCCGTAATGAATATATTTTATTACATGCTTTTCGGTAGTTTATAGAAATATATCAGTGAAATAAAAAACTGACATTTCACTGTTTGAATATATAAAATATCTCTTCCGTAATGAATATCTTATGTAACTTAATCCTAACATCGGTTGCAACGATAATGACTCGTCCAAGCGACAAGATCAGATCCGCTTCTGCTATAACGCTCTTCTCCGATGTTATAAAATATATGGGGTCTGAATCAGGTCTTGGCATTGTTGAAAATATTCTAACACATGCCAAAAGTAGGGCATTATGAAGTTTCGTGTTTTAAATATAATTATGTTAATATGCACATGTACATCATACTGACTGAAAAAATCTCAGGGCAAAAAAATGCTCTTGGACAGTCTTCTTTCCTCAATGAGATTAATTCATCTAATATACGAAGTTTGAGGTTGATATCTCTATTATTTTTTTAAGTTATACTATGGACAAAAATGTTTGCACTTAAGGCAAGAAAATCACAAATCATGTAAAACAGAGTAAATTATGGTTCTGTGATTATGCAATTCTTCTCCATGAGATCGACCCATCTATAAAGTTCCTAAGTAAATGCCTTAAATAGTTTCTATGCTACGCCCAGGCCATGATTATATAGGGCGATAAATACCAAAGGCAAAAGAAAATTAAGTTTTTTGGCACCGTACTTCTCCTTCAGGAGACCTACTTATTGATAAGGTTTTCAAGTTGTTGCCTTCAATACTTTTGAGCTACATGTAAGCACCATACATAAAATAAGTATGGAAATTACTTAAGACAGTAACACCAATGTTATTCATGATACTTGTATGGTCTTAGGCACTGAACTCCTAAGTGAGACTTATTCATCTATGAAATTCCGGCTGATATTTTAAATTCTTTCGAGATAAAATAAAATTTGCACAATTACAAAGGGCAATGACTCCAATTTTTGTGTGTGCAAAATTCATAGTTATTATACACAGCACTTCTCATTAGAAAGATAAATTCACTTATATAAGGTGTTATGCTGATATCTCCCAATACTTTTTGAATGATGAGCCGGATAAAAAAATAGTATCAAACGACAGAGTGCTGTATTAATACTGTAAAATTACGCAAAATAGTGTTATGATTCTTAGGTACTGAACTTTACCATCATAAGATCTATCCATCTATGAAGTTTCAATCTGATATCTGTAACAGTTTTTGAGTTATGCCCCAGACAAATGAAATGCAAAGACTGATTCCTGTCATTGTCCGGCATGGTATAAAAAGTCAAATGAGCCGCGTCATGACAAAACCAACAAAATGGGTTTGCGACCAGCATGGATCCAGACCAGCCTGCGCATCCGTGCAGTCTGGTCAGGATCCATGCCGTTGGCTATCAGTTTCTCTACGTGTTATAGGGTTTGTAAGCGAACAGCATGGATCCTGATCAGACTGTGCGGATGCGCAGGCTGGTCTGGATCCATGCTGGTCGCAAACCCATTATGTTGGTTTTGTTGTGACGCGGCTCAAATTTATTCAAGTGGCACTAGATGTCAAATGGCCTTAAAAAGGTCTATAATGTTCCTGCCCGCTACTTACTCAACAGGGAAAGACTCAGAGTTGCTGGTTCAATCCTCGAGCATGGCTAAAATTTTCCATAAAATAAATCTCTGACATTGAGTCTAATGGTTATTTGTCTCTCACAGGTGATTCAGAATTTGTGTGGGATAAGAAGTGGGTCAATTGCAGAGAATTTCCAAAAGAACTTGTTAGGTCGACCGATCACTTTGATATGACCAAGCATTTGCAAAAATCGGCATATAAACTAACAATTGTACAAACTGACATAATATCTAAAATGCTTAAATCAAGGTCAACATTTAAACTAAAATGCTTAAATCAAGGTCACTATCAATCTATATGGAAAGTTTGGATATTTATAGGCACCTAATATATACATTTAGTTTGAGGTTACACCACAACAGATCAATATTTTCTACAATAAAGTAATTTAATCTTTATATGATATTATATACACTGTTACATGCTATATAATCAAGTAAATAATACACAAATATATGTTCACAACTTTATAATATCTAATTACAATCATTGTGCTGTAACTTAGTTTATACATAAAACTAAAAACAAACATGTACTAAAGTAAATGTGCATTTAACATTCAATAATAGTACAAGGGTAGGAATAAAAGAAACAGAGCAGAACAGACATAAGGAAAAAAATTTAAAAAAAAAACCCACTCAGTAATAGGGATCATATCAGTTACATTTAATACTGTTTCAAGTTTTTAAAAGTTACATGTAAAGGGAGGTAACTTCAACAGAAAAAAATAATAAATAAACAGTTTCTACAGTTACCACAGTTCACTAGTAGAAAATTATAGAGAAAATCAGATAGAAACAAAATTTAATTAAATATAAGTATAAATCATACAAATAAAAGATTGATACTCAATTACATTAACCTTTAATCTTCTAAAATGAGTCATTTTTGCAGAATACAAAAGATAGGTGTACTAGTAATCTATGAATAACCTTTACTTACTGTAAAAATACTGTATTCAAGTTTATAAACAGTCATTTTCGAACAAACAATAAATCATTAAATGCACTTTTCTGGTAAGTTAAGAAAAATCTAACCAGTTCAGAAATTTAAATGTAAAATATCTCTCTCTGGAAAATATCAGTATATATAACCACTTTAAGAATATACATGAGCCGCGTCACGACAAAACCAACGCAATGCGTTTGCGACCAACATGGATCCAGACCAGCCTGCACATCCGCGCAGCCTGATCAGGATCCATGCTGTTCACTATCAGTTTCTTTACTTGTTATAGGGTTTGTAAGCGAACAGCATGGATCCTGATCAGACTGCACGGATGCGCAGGCTGGTCTGGATCCATGCTGGTCGAAAATGCATTATGTTGGTTTTGTCATGACGCAGCTCATATGTTCTTGATCAAAAAGTACATACAAGTACATTAATGCACTTTTATCATAACCGAACTTGCTCCAGACATGGAGAAACAAAGGTGAAGAGTAAGGTTATGGGAATAAATTATAATGCCACTTTAACATGTAAAATAAACACAAGCTTAAAAGTTAATTAAAATGATTTTCAACAAAAATGAAACCCAAACAGTGCAATGACTATACTTTGTGTATTTAAGATTTTAAGTAAACATTTAGTGAAGGAAGGTCTACATTACAGGACAGTATTTACTTGATCAATACATGATCTTATTATGTGATTCTATTACTTTATTTGAAATATTTATTTAAATATTAATATTAATATTGTGATTGAATCACAAAATGTAGTTCATGTATCACCATGTACATGCTACTGCCCTTCATATTATCACCTCAATTCCTGTTCATAACAGATAGTGATGCATGTTTTGTATGTTTTTTTCTCCCACAAGCAAACTTAATTACTTCTATGAAATTTTCTTTCACAAAAAAGAAAAGTCTGTCCTGAAGTACAAACATGAATTTTTCCCGAATGAAAAATGATTCTTTTTTGCTTAAAATTTACATTCATTTAAACAGATGATTTATCGTAACAAATTTATATTTTTTTAACACCATTTTATTTCATAACACGAGTGTTTGGTTATTGTCATATATGTTTTCTTTTATTTTTGTATTAGTTGGTTTCTACAATACTTCTCAGTTTATTCTGCAAAGATTCCGAGTCATCTTCATTATCATCATCTAACTCTGACCACAGTTTTACTAATTTAACTTTCACAAACTCATCTTCCAATTCCATCCTTACTCTCTTCTTCGGATCCCAACCATTCTTAACGGCTTTTTGTAATCTTCGTCGAAGTTTCATCTGAGAAGGTGCCTCAAAGTCTATATGTCTCTGAAGCCTCTTCTTTCCAAATCCTTCAGACAAATTTTTTGGACTCTCTAATATTGTATGCCAAGGCTTCTTTTCTTCAGGCTTCACAAAGTTCTTATTTTTGTAAATCTTTTCTAATTCCTCAGCGGAATCTTCCTTATATTTTCGTTTTTTACCCCGTTTGGTAACTGTTGACTCTTCAAAATTTGGGCTACTATTATCAGTTGTGTTAAAAATAGTTTCCTTAGTCATATCTATGTGAACTTTCAAATTTGCAGCATCAGCTGATTTTCTTCTGCCTCTTTTCCCTTTAATGGCAGTTAAACTTTCAGAACTTGAAGGACTCTGGTCTGAATTTATCATTTGCAATTTCAATGAAGCTGCTTCTGCCGATCTTCGCCTTTTTCGTGTCGGTTCAACATTTTGCTTCACATCATTTATGTCATCTTCAGGTAAAACTAAACTTTCAACAGTTATCTCACTTTCCACTGGAATATCCCTCTTATCACTATCAATGATTTGGACTTGAGATATTTCATCGGTTAGTTCAGAGACATTACTTGTTTCAACTATGTCTTTTGGACTCATACCAGACTCTTCTGCTTCATCTACAACTGCTTCAATCAAAACTTTCTTAGACCTTCCCCTCTTCAAAATCTCATTTAAATTTGCTGACTTTCTTCTCCTTCCTCTTTTCTTTTTTTCCATATAGCCATTTAAATCTGTGTCTTTCTTTTCAATCTCACTTTTACCTGAGGGTTCTAAATCTACTGAGAGCACATTATTTTCTAAGTTGCATACATTGTTATTATCATTTGTATCTGCTGTATTCTCATTTCCAAGATCAAGTGCTGCTACCCTGTTCTCTATGTTAGTATGGCATTCTATATCATGTTTTTCATTTATTCCATCAACTTCATCAGCATCTCTCGAAGGAATTCTAGCAACATTTATATCTGTCCCAGTACTGTCCTGGGCACCAGTTGAAATTCCTTCAGCATTCGCACCATAGTTTTGAATCCCAAAAGACTGCCTTCTACTTTTTCTAACTTTGGCCAAACTTTTCTTAGTTTTCTTTCCCACTTCAACTTGACTTTCCATATTAATACATTCAGCATCAATGTGTTTTTGAGTATCTATCAAGCAATCTTTATCTGCTACAAAGCAATTTAAATGCTCAGGACTTGTTACCAAATTCTCTTTAGGTGTTTCATTTATTTTTATGTGGTTTTCACCCATTTTTTCACCACTTTCCAACATTATGTCTTTTTCATTTTCAGCTGATTTGATTATCTCACTGTTTTCAATAATAGGAATATCTAAAGCTCTTCTTTTTCGCCTCTTCTCTTTTTCTATTACATGGGTGTTTTCAATGACACAAATATCTGTATTTAATTCATTTTTAGCTACATTTTCACAAGAATTCTCTTCTTCAATTTCAGGAATAGTTTTCAATTCATCTTGACATTCATTCCTTACACTTTTCCTTTCAGGTATGTTTCTACTCCAAGCATTATTTAGATCAGTTTTATCCTCAAACACCTTGCAAACCTCACCAGTATCTTTACTGACATTATCTAATATTGTTTTACTGGCATCAGAATTGCCAACTTTAATTTCATCAGCAGTGTTTATTTTTTGTTCAGTACTTTCATATTCTTTTAAAGATTCCTGGTTAGTTATATCAAACTGTTGAGTGACAGCAAATTCAACATTTTCATTATAAACCCTTGAAGAAGTGTCATCTAATTCATCACCAGGAGCATCAGGAGAGTTCATATCTGATATACTAGAACAGCTTGGTTTTACTGATGCATGTGCAGGTTCTCCAACAATGATTCTATTATATGAAGTGCCTGCTTCACCAATCTCATGTTTGTTCTCTACAGTCACAGAGCTTTTCCTTTTGTCACTGCTTAACACATCCATTACAGCATTGTAGGTATCAAAGAACAATTTTCTGTCTCTTGTTTTTTTAGCAGAACCAGGCCTACACTGATTCACTGACTTTCTTGCACTTAGAGGTTTTTCAATTGTTGACTTCTTACAGCTTAAAGATTGTTCAAATGTTGTATTTGTTTCTTTACCAGTATTTCCAGCACTGTTATCACCCTTACAATCTGCACCAGTTTCAGTGTTTTTAAATCCTTGATATTCCTTATCAATTTCTGATCCTAACTGATCAAGTGATTTGTTAACATCAGACTTTACAGCATGTTTTCTAAGTTCATTGCACACCAAGTTGTGACTGGAATTTTTGTTTAAATCTGGTGATGCACACACATTTGTTGTATTACTGCTATCCAGGAACCCACCAGTCAAAAAAGATGGACTGGTTTTCACAAAGTTCACAACTTTACCTGCAAAAGCTTTACACATAGACATGAATCCCGGTGAAACATTGTCAGTAAAATCCCCTTGTGGAGTGACATTCATACTGGTATTTTCATTAACAACACTGTTTTCTTTATCAGATTGAGAGGAATCTGACATGCGGTCTATTCCTGGAGATTCGTTTAAAGACTTGCCATTAACATTGGTATAAGCAGGCCTGGTATAAGACGAGCTTTCATCCTCTTCAGCATCACATGCCATTTTTGTATTACAAACTGTTTTCTCATCAGTATTGTTTTCTGTGTATGTGTTATTCCCTTCACAGTATTTTTGGTATGTACCTGTATATTCAGGTGACATAGAAAATGACGATACATTTGATAGACTGCATTCAGATGGAGGCGTGATATTACTTAAGTCTGACGCATTAAGAGATATTTTTTCTGCAGAGTTATCTCCCTGAATTTCAATGTTTATGTCAGTAAAGGACTCATCTAGTATTTGAGAGTCATTAAATTTCTCCCCATCTTCTCTTTTTAAAGTATTTTCTTTTTCATTGAGCTCTTGCTCTTCACTTTCATTGCTGTTTTCACATGACCCTGAACTCCTTTGTTTAACTAGTGCATTTTCATTTGATGTATCTAAGTTCTCACTCAAACTGTTTGTTCTGGTTACAGGTTCACTATAGCCATCAGACCTCTCATCATCACACGATTTTGAAAGGCTACTGTTATAGTAATTAGCATCATATGATGATGAAGAGACTTCAGTTTTTAAAGTCTCTCTACTGTTGGTCAAACTGTTTGTTTTTGTTATGGGTTCTTCAATATTATCTAATGTCTGGTCTCGATATGTTTTTGTAATGTATGCATTCTGGGTATTTAAAATGTGGTTTTCTACATTCTCTTCTACATCAGGGTCATTCAGTCTTGGTACCAGTCCAACCAATAGACTGGATCTACGCCTGCGCTTCTTAACAACTGGTTCCAAGCTCTCACACCACATACTACCAAACACCGCCTGGTTCCCATTAGACTGAATTTCTGAAAAAAATATAAAAAACCTGTAAACAAGATGCTCGATCAAATGGGCTTACCTTATTAAGAGGAAAATGTAATCAAAGGTCAGTTTAAACTATAAGGTCAGTTGTATTATTATGATTTCATGACTTTTTTGTCATTTGTAGAAATTCTCTTGGCAATCCTCATACTAAGAATCTAAGCTCTGATTATTGAAGTTTAGCACAAGAAGTGTTGTTTATTCCTACAGATGTAAGTCTAACAAGAGCTTTCAGTAGGACAGTGTGCTCATCTAATCTCAGTGCTTGATAGTAAAACAAGAGCCTGAATACTGTAGAAATTTCTAAGTAAAAAAAGGACTGTAATTCTGTCAAAATCCATTTATGGGCCTTGAATAGTGACCACCTATTGTGCTCTCAAATAAATGTTTCAACCAATGCCCTTCAGTAGTTTTTGAGATAACAACTTGCGTGCAAAAACTTTACCAAAGTGTGATACTGATGCCTGTATGAGTCAACTGTCTTCAATCAAAGTCCATGCTAGGATTAAGGACCTTGGATTGTGACCTCTAATTATGATCCCAAAGTGATGTATAAAGTTTAAAGTAAATGCCTACAATATTTTTAAAGATGATATTGCATGCAAAACATTAATCAAGAATTTTCAAAATTCAAAAAAGGGCTATAATTCAGTTAAAATTCATGATAGACTTACAGGCCTAATTATGATCCCATAGACATGTATTAAGAAGTGAATATTTTCAGTATTTTAGAAGACTGATGTTGCATGCAAACTATTACCAAGAATTGTCTAAGTTCAAAAAGGGCAATAACCCCATCAAAATCCATGCTAGAGTTATGGATCTATGAAAGTGACATCCTATTAGTAATTATTATACATTCAAATTAGTGTGTGAAGTTAAAAGCAAACATCATTTTATAAGTGGTTAATGAGATGTGACTAACTTAAACCAAAGTGTTACAATGATGCCAATCAATGCTGCACTGAAAAATGTTCTCAAAAGTATGTACCCAAACAATCATTATCAGAAAGTCAAGGGTGGGGGCAAAAATAAGGGTCAGTCAGACTCTCCAAACTATACATATTTTTATATTTGGCCATGACAATACAAGAAAACATCTTTTAATACCTTTTGATGAATCATCTTCAACATTTTCATCCAATGTGTCAAGATTGAGTGGCATAACTACGGATGTACGACGCAGATTTCTCACCGAGCGTCTCCTCTTCCTCAATGCTTTCTCTTCAATATCCATCGCAACAGATCACTGTCTCACTGTCTATTGTGCAACCCTCACTTCATAAGTCTGAAAGTATTCAATGTAGCAATGCTGTCATTTTGTCTCAATAGCTTACATTACAAACTGTATATTTAATTTTTCATTTTCTTTTCTTTCAGAAACATGTGCATAAATAACAGTAATGATTATAATTTGTTTTTGTTTGATTGGGTTTAACGTCACACTGACACAGTATAGGTTATTTAGCGACTTCCAGCTTTACTGGTGGAGGAAGACCTCAGGTGCCCTTCCGTGCATTATTTCAGGCACGAACGAGCACCTAAATAGAACCACCGACGTTCGGTAAGCTAGCTGGATAGCTTCCTCACATGAAAGAATCCATGTTGGGATTCGAACCCACAGCGGAGAGGGGCAAGTGGTTTGAAGTCAACGACCTTAACCACTCGGCCACAGACGCCCCTAATGATTATAAAATTGGGACGAAATGTAACTGAACTGTGGAGAATCTTTATCGGTTTTTAATATGGATAACCCAACAGTTAAAATAGTCAATTAAAATGGTTAATATAAAGATAAAGAACACTTTATTTCACTAATAAACCAAAATAAACTTTTACATGTTATCTTATCATTTCTAAATTTTGATAATCATAATTTAAAGGGCATTTAAAATAATTATATTGAAGTGAGGCGAATCGTCACTGAAGTGGGCAAGTAATGGACGAAAAGTCAGTGGTGAGAATCTTTCATCAAATTTCAAGGACAAACCAGTTCTATACCTCTTTCTGTATCAATAGAAAAATATCTTTAAAAAAATTCTTCACATATATATATAATACCTAATACAGGGTTTCCATTTTTATCTGAGGCAAGAGATGTGTCAACAAAAGCGATCAATTCGGCCAAGGGGAATATTTTAATCTACAACTCATTACCAATTTTAACACAGTGTCAACCAATGATATGGATCGTCAATCTATTAATAATGTAAACCCTGTAGATTATAGATATACTTTAACCTTTAACATTTCTGTCAAATTTGGCTGAAATTTAATAACTAAATCTTAAGTATCTCTGAAATTTTACTATTCAGCCCATGAAGTGATTATCCAAGGACTTTCTAAGGGCATTTAAGCATTTTTAGTTTCTTCATGATGCAGGCAAATGCTTTAAGATAATTTTGCTTTCAAGCAAAAAATAAACAGCTCAGGAGTGAGATTTTGAGTCAATTCGGCACCAAGATGTTCCGGCCCCAAAGAACCCAAGACGTTTCGTCCACAGCATGTCGGCCCTTTACCAAAACGGCCCTATGTAAAATATTTCAAAATAAGTTTCATTTTAATATGTAACTATGTTTTATACAATAATTATCTTAGAATTCCAAAAATTAAACAAAATCTATCAGACTTAAAAAACAAGAGGGCCATGATGGCCCTGAGGTCGCTCACCTGTATATAGCCCTCCCCCCACACACACCCATAAAAAGATGTTTCATGCTAAACATCTAAGCTCTAGCTCATTGGGCTTTTTAAAAGAAGATTTTTTTAAGTTTTTACTATACACATATAGTTAAAAACAATGACACCCCTGGGGCGGGGCCAGTTTTGACCCCAGGGCTTTTATTTGAACAAACTTTGTAGACACTTACTAGAAGATGTTTCATGCTTAATATCTAAACTCTAGCTATTTGGGTTTTTTCAAAGAAGATTTTAAGTTTTTGCTATACACATATAAGGAAAATCAATGACCCCCGGGGCGGGGCCAATTTTGACCCCAGGGCTTTTATTTGAACAAACTTTGTAGACACTCACTAGAAGATGTTTCATGCTTAATATCTAAACTCTAGCTATTTGGGTTTTTTCAAAGAAGATTTTTTAAGTTTTTGCTATACACATATAAGGAAAATCAATGACCCCCGGGGCAGGGCCAATTTTGACCCCAGGGCTTTTATTTGAACAAACTTGGTAGACACCTATTAGAACATGTTTGATGCTAAATATCTTAGCTCTAGCTCTTTGAGTTCTTTAAAAGAAGATTTTTTAAGTTTTTACTATATGCATATAGGGAAAATCAATGACCCCCTGGGGCGGGGCCAATTTTGACCCCAGGGCTTTTATTTGAACAAACTTGGTAGACACTCATTAGAACATGTTTCATGCTAAATATCTTAGCTCTAGCTCTTTGGGTTCTTTAAAAGAAGATTTTTTAAGTTTTTACTATATGCATATAGGGAAAATCAATGACCCCCTGGGGCGGGGCCAATTTTGACCCCAGGGCTTTTATTTGAACAAACTTGGTAGACACTCACTAGAAGATGTTTCATGCCAAATATCTAAGCTCTAGCTCTTAGGGTTTTTTAAAAGAAGATATTTAAAGTTTCTTCTTTCGGTTGCCATGGCAACCAGAGTTCTGCATGGAATTAAATTCTTTGAACAATTTTTAAAGGTGACCACCAAAGGAACATTCCTGTGAAGTTTGGATGAAATTGGCCTAGTGGTTTATGAGGAGATGTCATTTAAAGTAAAAGTTTATGGACGCCGGACGGACGCTGGACGAAAAGCGATCACAACAGCTCACCCTGTCACTTTGTGACAGGTGAGCTAAAAATAAAAAATTATGCATTTATATATATAAATATATTTTTGAAATAGAATAATCAGGGTCTTTCAAATTTGAAAGACTCTGGATTAATGAATAAAACGTGTGCTTTTTTTAACAGAAAATAGTCCAATAAAATATATTTATCATTAAAAATTACGTGTATTCAACAATAAGTAATAGATATACCATTGCTGCGTTGACGATTTCTGGGTTTGCATAAATTATACCATAATCACGTGACCTTTCTTATGCCTTAACCTCACGAGACGAAGTCAAGTGAGGTTGCATAAGAAAGATCACGTGATTATGGTATAATTTACGCAAACCCAGAAATCGCCAACGCACCAATGGTGTATCTGTTTTTACCTATAGCTCCGCCCAGAAACACTTACTACTTCGATGAAAATTATACCATAGTCTGGGTATGGTATAATTTACGGTTATTGAAAATTATACTTGGAAGAATTTTACATAAGAAGCGCTGAAGAGCTATAGGTTAACTTATAAGTAACCTTTATATTTTGATTTATAATCAATCATTACCTCAAAATAATAATTAACAAATATTTTCATTCAATTATTAAAGTTATCTTATAAGACTTTGTAGTTTTCACTGATATTCCACATCACCAATTAAAATAAAGCTAAAATCTTGCTACTTTTTCAGTTTGTAAAAGTTGATTTTGATATATATTCATAAATATAAACTGATTCAAATATTTTATATATAGGTATTATGAAAAATTACAGTCAACCCAGCCCCAAGTTTACCCGGACCAAATTCAATCCGGTCCCAATATTGGTCAATCCAGCCCCACATTATTTCTAGTTGGCCAATGCAGCCCAAAAATTGGTTAAATCGGCCCAAATTTTTTTTTTTGATTTTCAAAGTACATGTAGTATTGTCCCGATTATCACTGAAAATTGAAAACTAATCAGACCACCCCGAAGTCGATGACAATCAATAGTCCTTTTTAAAAATCTATTATTTATGTGTTCTTGATCGTGAAAATTCTGAAATGCACTCGTTTGAAAAAATCAGCTCACATTTCATTTTTGACCCATGATAATTTCAGATGGATGCATGGAAATTTTACTGTTTGTCAATCAATAAATGCCAACGCAAGAATTTCGCATTGACAAAGCAATTAGCCCCGCCTACAGGTATAGTAGGCGTGACAAATTATCCGCATTAAAACGGTTTAAGCTATTCATTGATGAGTACACTGACTCGTAGTTTGCTTTTGTTAGGGAGACGTATAACTGAAGTCGTCCGCTCATCAATAAACACGGCATATAATGTGTATATAATAATCTTTATTAATTGGTGTATGTGTGCTGATTTGTCAGACTTTCGTATGAAGATTGGACTGCGGAAATTCTAATTTCATCGGTCTTTTATATATATTTCATCGGTCTTTTTATTATTTTAAGGTATTTTTTTGCAGGTGGCTAATTTTATTGTTAATTACCAACACCTTTCTACAAGTATTGTAAGATCTTTTATTTTCCGCCGATTTAAAATCATAACAATGTTTTTTCAGAATACTATGCAACTGTTTTGGTAATTTTCATTGTTCAAGATTCGCAGCATATTTGAATTGATGTCCATTTAAACCCCAGTCACACTAGAGCTTACGATTACTTGCGACCACCGGCGACTTGTAAAACTGACGATCATCAGCGATTGTCTTCGACCGAAACCATTTTTGCACAGATAAATTTACTTTTGCGAGTACCGTAAGACAAGTCATCATTGACAATCGCATGACGGGTCATAAGTAAACGTACGATGGTCTCAAGATTGCCTGGGATTACTTACGACTACCCGTGACAAAACATGCGATCACCAAGCTCAAAAACCTCTCTACGACTGAAATTGGTCGTGGGACCTAAATAAGATAACCTGGGACTGTCAAAGATCATCGATGACCGTCATAAGACGTTTTAAAGATTGTCCGCGACCATGGGTCACTGGTGATCGTGAACTGGTCTTCACTGGTCTTAAGCTCTAATGTGACTGGGGCTTTAGCGTTTACGTGGGCAAGTCCCATCTTTGATGTGCTGTTGACTAGCAATTCATTAGACTATCGCTGAAAAAGCCTATTTAACCTAGGATTTTCTGGCACTAAACATTCTCAAAAAAAAAGCAAAGAAAAAACATTCATGGAAACTTGGTTATATAACAATTTAAATGGTTGGAATTGAAAGTTGTTGATGGACAATGTAAATTATTTTATACATGTCATCGTAAAGCAAATAAGAACTGCACTTCTTAGAATCTTACATCACAAATTTAAAGCATAGTGCAATTGATAGACATCAAACAAAAATCCAGATCACTTGGAGTTGGCAAATGCTAGAATGCTCATCAATTCTAAAATTCAAGAAGCTAAACAAATGGCACAAAGCTCAACCACAAAGGTCTGACTATGCTGAATATATCTTAATTTGTAAAAAAAAATTATAATATAGAAATAAATAAAAACAACAAAATTTC